GCTACAACACAGGATCCGTAAAACATTTCGCGTTCCTTACATGTTATGTTGACAAAGGCCAGGCAGTTGTGCCCGCACGGATGCCTGCGCTAAACCGTTCATGAACCTGCTCGTTGGTCAGGCAACTGATGACAGCATGATTCCAGGAAGAAGTAAAAATTCCAATAAAATATAAACCGAAAACAGAAGACGGAGGTCAAGTGCTTTAACCCACTAAAAACAATAGTAAATACTTCCCGGTACATATTATAATATATAAAACGTGCAAACGCCCGTTGGCGTGATGTGTTTGTCTTTCAACACCACACGAGTTCTATGAGTAACATCAAGTAACATCAACAGTAACACACGTACAGCCCCCGGGTAGGGGTACTCCCAGAAAAATTAGTTGAAGCCTATAATAGCCCATATAAGGGAGTACCCCTCCCCGGACGTACACTGACACAGTCATAGATACATACGACTTTCGGACGAATGTATGCTGGCAATACGGCGCATGGAATCTAACGTTTCTTTTCTTTTCGTGTATTTTACTTGTCAAGAGCCTATCTGATGGGCTCCTGACTTGTTTGTATTCGCATGTACCTGTGAGTATTCGTATGTCATTACGCTTGGTGACCTTAGTACAGGTGATGAAAGCTTCCTTCGAGAAATTTCGGATAATAACTCCTACGTAGCCTTGAGGAGTTTGAGGAGCGCCGCGTAGGCCTTAAAGGCTACCACTGTGATAAGGCGGCGTGGCCGAGAAGTTTAGGGGGCTGGATTTGAAATCTAGAGGTACTTGGGTAAAGTCCTACCTGGTCAGTCCCTACCGGGAACTCCCGTATGAAAAAGCCCGGGTTTGCTCGTTGTATCTTTTAGGGATTAAAAAAAGCGGTTTTGGTGCCTCTAGGGTGTTCAGCCTCAAGTGGTCCTCAAGGGTACTGAGCCGAAACAAAAATGACAACTGGATAATCTGTTGAACAGGAGCACCCAACGTATCGTTTCGGTAAATTATCTGTTCGGAAGCCTTTAATCCCCTCTGATTTTCTTAAGATAATTGTCACCTCGAACTTTCATGATATGAGAAATTTAATGTCTGTTGTTTTCGGATTGATAAAAATGTCGCTTTGGGTACCGAAAAAAGGTCAGCTATCATTTTCTGAAAGGCGATAAGATCTAAGGTTTTCGGGAAATGGACAAAAATGCCCTAATAAATTCGAGAATACTCAAGTTCCCCTAGAATAGCCGGACAGATAATTTTTTTTTAGCGCAACCTAAAATTAACCTAAAGAACTTTAAAAGTATCCCAGATAGCCTAAAACAGCGCTCAAAAGCATTCGAGAGAAAACGGTCGTTGTGTGCCCCTGGTTGATTTAGAATTGGTACCTTTAAGGTTGAAAAACATTTCAAGGCGCACCCACAAAGCAGGATCTTGGTACCTTTTAGAGGTTCTTTTCAAAAGGTCCGACGAGCACCCCTTCCTTTTTACATGGGATTCCCTCCCGGGGGCTTTCGTCTGTTATTACGGATGACGAGGATAGAATAAGACTAAAGCTTAGCACAGTATTGACTTATGCTGAACACAGTAAAATCTCACGGGGAGGCTCCGCCTCTGCGTTTTTGATAACAGTTAGCTTTATTACGATCATGATCTTTGAAGACCCGTTTCAAACGCCATTGTATGTCCTCGAGTCGAACAACACTTGGTTTGTAGACGTCAAATGTAATAGTTGTTGCAAACCAAAACGCGAACAGTCGATTGTGCAGAAAATCGAAAGAAATGTTTTCTAATTATTTATGAATTGAGTTCGGCACGGTAGTAGTT